TAGATAAAACTAAATATAATCATGTCACCAAATAATTGATTAAAACACACTTTTTTGCAATGAAGGTCTACAGTAGCCTCAACAGCACTCTGTAGGGTAGCACCATGGTGTAGCCGGAGGACAGCTAGCTTCCGTTCTCCTCTGGATACATTGACTTCAATACAAAACCTATGAGGCTCACGGTTCTCATGGTTCAACTTCCGGAGGCCGACCTCCAACCAATCAGAGCTCTTGCAGCATGAACTGACATGATGTCCACCCAATCAAAGGATCAGAGAACGATTATAGTACTGAAAGCATAAGCTACAGCTACCTAGCACTGCAGTGCATACAATGTGGTTAGTAGTTGACTCAAAGAGAGAGAAAGACAATAGTTGAACAGTTCTGAACAAATTAATTTATTCAAAAATGAAGGAGAAGCAAGCGAGCTATATAGCGTCACTTTTTTTTCACTTTCACAGCTAGCAAATGCAGCGAACTAGTTTAGCCTACTCAAACAGAGGGATGCTATGTTAGCTAGCTGGCTATGACAATCCAACACAACACTGGAACTCTTCCAAGTCAAGGTAAGCTTTTGGTTTTACTAATTTACTGCCACCGGGGCCCGCCAGTGTAACTGCTAAACTGCTTACTGACTGTACACTGTAATGGGTTTACTAACGCGTTAGTTCTATTAGCTATGTTTACTATGATGTTACTTTAGCTAATATGGTGACAACGATGTAGGCTGTGTGTAGCGGTTATTATATGATGGTTTGGAAAGGTATTTTTGCCTGGTCGCATACATTTTTCATATTGGCCCCCCGTGGGAATCGAACCCACAACCCTGGCGTTGCAAGCGCCATGCTCTACCAACTGAGCTACAGGAGGCCTACATTTGATGTGTTGTGCATTGAAATCCACAAGGGAAGGGAAAAGGTGAGAGGAGGAGAGCGCGTAGATAATAATAATAATAATATAATATAATAATATGCCATTAGCAGACGCTTTTATCCAAAGCGACTTACAGTCATGCGTTGCATACATTTTTTTTTGTGTATGGTGGTCCGGGGATCGAAACCCACTACCTTGGCCGTTACAAGCGCCTTGCTCTACCAGCTGAGCTACAGAGAAGGAATACAACGTGGCTGCTATGAAAGTGAACTGTGTTTAGGCGTGATCATGGGTGTAGTCATTGCACCGATTCTGTTGAAAAAAGTTTCTTAAATGGAAACAAACGGAACGAAATGGGGATAAACATACCTGAAATTTGTCCAATAGAAACTCTTGTTTGCAACTGTTGGACTAATGATTACACCCTAGATCAGCTAGATGCAGGCAAGAGTGTGCAAGGCGGTATTGAATGTGTCACTGTCTGTCATGTGTCACTGTCTATCACCTCAAAATTGCATCTTGACCTTTGTGCATCTAAAGTGCATTCGGAAAGTATTCAGACCCATTGACTTTTTCCACATTTTGTTACATTACAGCCTTATTCTAAAATAAATATTTTTTTTGCTCACAATACCCCATAATGACAAAGCGAAAACAGGATTTACATAAGTATTCAGACCCTTGACTAGGAGACTCAAAATTGAGCTCAAGTGCGTCCTGTTTCCATTGATCATCCTTGAGATGTTTCTACAACTTGATTGGAGTCCACCTGTGGTAAATTCAATTGATTGGACATGATTTGGAAAAGCACACACCTGTCTATTTAAGGTACCACAGTTCACAGTGCATGTCAGAGCAAAAACCAAGCCATTGTCCGTAGAGCTCCGAGACAGGATTTTGTCGAGGCACAGATCTGGGGAAGGGTACCAAAAAATGTCTGCAGCATTGAAAGTCCCCAAGAGCACAGTGGCCATCATTCTTAAATGGAAGAAGTTTGGAACCACCAAGACTCTTCCTAGAGCTGGCCACCCGGCCAAACTGAGCAATCGGGGGAGAAGGTCCTTGGTCAGGGTGGTGACCAAGACTCCAATGGTCACTCTGAAAGAGCTCCAGAGTTCCTCTGTGGAGATGGGAGAACCTTCCAGAAGGACAACCATCTCTGCAGCACTTCACCAATCAGGCCTTTATGGTAGAGTGGCCAGACGGAAGTCACTCCTCAGTAAAAGTCCCATGACAGCCTGCTTGGAGTTTGTCAAAAGGCACCTAAAGGACTCAGACCATCAGAAACAAGGTTATCTGGTCTGATGAAACTAAGATTGAACTCTTTGGCCTGAATGCCAAGCGTCACGTCCGGAGGAAACCTGGCACCATCCCTACGGTGAAGCATGGTGGTGGCAGCATCATGCTGTGGGGATGTTTCTCAGCGGCAGGGACTGGGAGACTAGTCAGGATCGAGGCAAAGATGAACGGAGCAAAGTACAGAGAGATCCTTGATAAAAACCTGCTCCAGAGCACTCAGGACCTCAGACTGGGGCGAAGGTTCACCTTCCAACAGGACAATGACCCTAAGCACACAGCGAAGACAATGCTGGAGTGGCTTCGGGACAAGTCTCTGAATGTCCTTGAGTGGTCCAGCCAGAGTCCGGACTTGAAACCATCTCTGGTGAAACCTGAAAATAGCTGTGCAGCGATCTCCCCATCCAACCTGACAGAGCTTGAGAGGATCTGCAGAGAAGAATTGGTGAAACTCCCCAAATACAGGTGTGCTAAAAGTGTTTCAACAAAGTACTGAGTAAAAGGACTGAATATTTATGCAAATGTAATATATCGTTTTACTTTTTTGATAAATTAGCAAAAATTTGTAAAAACCTGTTTTTGTTTTGTCATTATGGGGTATTGTGTGTAGATTGATGAGGTGACAAAAAAACTATTTAATCCATTTTAGAATAAGGCTGTAACATCACAAAATGTGGAAAAAGTCAAGGGGTCTGAATACTTTCCGAATGCACTGTATGTTGTCAACTTTAATTCATAGCAACCTCATGATGGGTATAGGGAAAATGTGAGTATCATTCATGTAGTAGCCTAAACCTATCGATGTTACATTGAACTGGGTGAATGGAATATGAATGACAGTCATCCAATATGCTGTAATAGAAATAAGGCCATGCTTATGAAAAAATACAATCGTCCTCCCTCATCTTAAACAGCACCAACCGCCACTGATTTCTAACCAATACAAAATGGAATTGAAATTGCAGAATTAAGTTGGCTAAATGAGAATGAGTATGCTACAATGATCAACCAACAGGTAGGCAGTTGTTTAATATGAATGGAGTTGTTGTAGACATTGGACGGGGAGCGCAGCAAAACAGCTTCAATTAGCCTTGCTACTTTAGCTAGCTAGCTGCCTAACTTAGCTGGCTACAGTTGCACGCTAGCTTCTTCACAACGATTTGATGCAGTGGTCGCTGTGAATCATCCAGGTGGGTGCTACACATTGGTGATGGGTGAGGTCAGTTTCCCCCTACTATGTAAAGTTTTGAGTACCTCAGATTGTAGAAAGCGCTATATAAATCCAATCAATTCTCATTATTAAGTCAGGCACTACCAGATGGTATGATAGATAACCTATGGCAGCAACGTGTTTGTCTATCTAGCGGGAGTCGGTTTGGCACGTAGACCGTCACACACACACACCAGTCTCTAGCCCCTCCACCACCCTTCTGCTGAAAACAAGCAGAGCGCAGCTTCTCTCTGGAGTCGCACGAGCAAGTCTCCACTGAAGTTTCAACAACAACGACAACAAAATATATAATAATACAACACATGTACTTCGACTATCCCCCGATATCCGAAAAAGTATAATGATATTATTTGCATACTGATATCATTTCAAATGCCCATCCATAGTAAAGGAGAAATGAAATAGGTCCAGGAGTGAAGAATAAATGAAACCCCTCAATTCTGACATTAAGTGGAAGTGGATGATAGTGATTTCATAAACAATACCATACATCTGTAAATCATTTATAGATTCATCTTAAATTTAATTATAAGGTGCCATCAGGACATCTATAGTGATGAGATGAGCCAGTAACATTCACATCGTACCTACAGCTACTTCCAGTAAAACTAAAATTGAATTGCACATTTGATAGACTACTGAAAGCTAGAGAGAAAGAGAGAGAGAGAGAGCTCCTAATTAATAATTCTATATTATATTAGATTCTATATTATACTATTCTATTTAGATCCTTCAATAGCTTCATGTCACTAAATCAAATATCGAAGGAAAAACCATACTGGAAAATGAAAACTGTGGAAATGACATAGAAATGTACCAATTTATGAGTGAAAATTAATCAAAACTTCGAATTGAAATTCAGACCATATTGGGGTATATTCTCTGATAAAGCACTCTATGTGACATCAATCAAAATGTTCAAAGTGTACTGTACTACAGAGATATGGAAACTCTAAAGTACACAACAGCAAACTCTTGAGAGATCCAAGAGAAGATAGTATCAACTGTTAAGAGCTCTGTTGTTATTACATGGTTATGATGGAGGAATATGACTAGCAAAGTTCTCTTCAGAATAATAGCAGTCCAGATATCAATCTCAAAGCAAACATACTCAAAACGTACTCAAAACTACCAAACGGAAATGTATCATCAAAGTGACTATCAAACCAAAAAGAAGCACTGGTATTTCCAAAGTATAATTTCAATAGGAAAATTACAAAATGATAATAACAACATGATGTATTATTATTATTATTATTATTATTATTATTATTATTAATAATAATAATAGTAATAATAATAATAATAATGGCAGTAGTATTATCACTATTATTCTTACTATTACTTGTATTACTACTATCCTCGTTGCTGATAACGTCAATAGTAGGCCTGTCATACAGGCAGAAATATCATACAGCCATAATTAAAGATAGGCTCAGCAACACTTTGCAATAAATTAATGTTATTCAATAATAATAACAACAACAACAATAATAATAATAATAATAATAATAATAATAATACTAGGCTACATCATATTGTTTCTATTATAATGTGTTGTTATTATTCCATTATCTTGAATACACGTTCGGAGACAGCCCTAATCCAACCAACGCCTGAGGGAGAGCCCAAAACGAGCCACAAACAAACCAGCCATACAGTCTGCCAAGTCCAACGGGACTCCCGTACAGCCAGAAAAAAAGCTCCTTACCTGGTCCCTCTGAATGCATGGCAGCGAGGTCCTCCTGTGTGACTTGCTGTTGGGCTGACTGTGTGCCATGTCTGTGGAAATCACAGAACTGGACCTCCTTCGCCTTTTAAACACGGGGGTCTCGTCCCCTTCCCTCGCCCCAGTCACAGAGGGGGTACAGCCCTCCCTGGGTAGCCCTTGGTTCGGAAGTAGGCTATCAGCATACCTCGCCAGTAGGATGCCCAACACTCCCACCAGGTACGCCACGTAAGGTCTCCAAGTGGCCCGGACTTTGTGCAGCGAGATGAGCGAGATAGTCCGAACGACGCTGACGAACACTATGACCGAGATGCCGTGCTTGAGCCGCGCTACCATGAGTGTGCCGGTGGCCAGGCAGGCGAGCACGACCGCGGCCGCTGACGTGCTGAAGGAAAACGGCTGTTGTTCATCCGTCCCAGTCCCGCCGTGCACGAGAGCCCACGCCGCCGTCTCTCCTAGGTGGCAAAGCGTGAGGAGGAAAAGGGCGGTTTGGATAAGCACTCCGCAGCTGATCAAATACAAACCCACCCAAAAGAAGGCACATAGGAGGGTAAATACAGGCGAGATCAGATGCCAGAGAGTTAGCAACAACTCCCCTGCGCAGCCTGACACGATATGAACAGGAGAGCAGGAGTGCAGCCTGCTGAGGCTGTTACCACTGCTACTGAGCTCAGTCCTCCAGTCGGCTAATTTAACCACCAGAGCGAGAAAAACCGACAGTGAGCCCACACATACTGTACACCGGAGTATTTGGGAACTCCATATCTTGAACACGAGCCTCACCATGCACGACCCATATGAGCCATCACCATCTCGGTCGCGACTGTCGGGCAGTGGCTGGTTGACACTTGTTTTCACATAACCATTGCGCTCCGGTGCCCTGAAGGTTTTATCGTGAGCGCCGGTGCTGTTATTGCTACTGCTCCGTAGATGTACTACACCACTGCTGCTACTGTCAGATTCTACTACTGGCATTGCCATCACTCATATAGCAGCGTTACGGACTCATATAGCAGCGTTACGGAAGTATGCCTATGAAGAAGTGTAAAAGCTACATCTAGACCAGAGGGTCTATCGGGTAATGGGACAGGGCATGAGTTATTGACAGAACGAACCAAGCACCCTGACACAATCATACATTTAGAAAATAATATAGCGCAAAGAGAATTAACGGCTACAAGGGTCGGTTATTATTTCACCATACGGTCATACAAACGAGTCTCCACACTGAGATCATTTTGTTTTCCCTTTATCTTTGTTGCTTATTTAGGTACAGTAATGAAAATAATGAAATACCCCAAAATAGACGATATGCACTGAGGCAGGATGACAGTAGGCTTCAGTCACAGACCAACTCATGACATATTGCAGGGAGAGCAGATCTAGGCCATTTCTTTCTTTCTTCGCATCACATCATCATCCACACAGACGTCCCGCGCTGCACGCTACTGCCCTCCTTTGTGTTCCCCGTCTCTCACACAGTCACACTTCTTTGGTGTTTTTTCTTCTCGCCTCCTGTTTTAGTTTCCTCAATATTTCCAGGAGTCGTCTTTGCAAAACACAAATATATTTTGAGGTATAGGTTTAACGATGCCACATGCGCTCTGGTCATAAATTGAACACTTATCTGTTCATTTTTAGAGTCACCGAGTTCTTCCACACTCACGAGCCCCCGCTGCCTCCGATGTTAATTGCGGTGGTAATGTGGACCGGTTTTTTAGCTCGTTGTGCCTTGCTGTTGTATATGTTAGTCATCGACTCTGAAAACGTCCGTGCGTGAGAGTGTGACTGTTCTCGTGCCTCAAGCTCTTTCACGCGAGTAGAGTAGAGGGGCAGATAGGGAGATGGGGAGTAGGGGATGCAAGCGAAGTGCAACCCCAAAATCATTCACTACCAAGCCTTCAAGGTATAGGATTAGGCGCTGTGAAAAGCATGGCAGTTAATGCATCAATATTCGCACCCAATAATTTTGTTGTCCCGTTTTTTTCTCTCAATTCTTCTCAGTGCATGAATTTAGAATGTGTTTGTATTTGCGAAGTGTTTCGTAAACATTTTGATGAAGGCCATGCATACATTTGGTTGAAGCATCAATTAAAATGTATTAATGGTTAATTATTCAATACCTTTAAAGTGTTACTAACGATGGGTGGTGTGTGTGTGTGTGGTGAGAAATAGGGGAGAAAGGAGGTGAGAGAAATAGGAGGTGAGAGAGAGATAAAGGAGGAGGTCAGGGCCCCGAGCTAGTTAAAGGGATCTGTGTTGTTCAGAGACCTGTCAGTCAATCATCTCACAGCTTGTTCACAGTGTGGCAGCTCTGCCTACAAACAAAACAGACAACTGAATGGATCTCACATTAACTACAGGCTACACCATGAATGGACTGTGTGTAGGGTCTCCACAATCATCTTCTTCTTCTTCTTCTTCTTCTTCTTCTTCTTCTTCTTCTTCTTCTTCTTCTTCTTCTTCTTCTTCTTCTTCTTCTTCTTCTTCTCACAACTCAAGGTAAGGGTAATTCCACACAAATATAGATTTTGCAGGACTATCCCTTTAACCAGCTCTCTGGTGGTGGACACCCTCCACCCCTTTGACCTTTTGTAGGTTTTTAGTTCTGCAGTTTTTGACACAAACCATCATTTATTTTGTTCTCATCCCCTCAGAACTGACCTGGTGCACATTGCCGCAGAGTGCGGCCTCCTCCATCACCGTGACGACAACGGCAGGGTTGCTCACGTGGTAGTTGAGCAGGCCCTCAAGTTGACGGCGCCAGCACTTGCCCACTGCGATGATCTGTCTGGGGCACGATGCCCGCTCCTAGCTGGCCGTCACCCTCTGGAAGTGCTGCAGGATGGTGGCCATCTGACGAAAGGTGGGACAACAAAATGTAGTCAGGGAAACTGCTGAGGAGACCGTGGTGAGGGAGTAAAACAGATAACACTGAGCTTTTTGGAGCGCAGATTACCAGGATTCCTGCTTTAGAAGGTAGAAAGTCTGGTCTAGTTGTAGCACTGGACACTCCAGACTGCATATACCCCCTGGTGATGCATTTAGCTGGACAGTTTTGTAGAAAATTCATAGATTTAATATAAGAATACTTCTACCAGCAGTGGTGATAACAATACATATCCAAAGTTTAAAAAAAAAACTACAAAAGAGGAGAGAGAGAGAGAGAGAGAGAGAGAGAGAGGGGGGGGGGGGGGGGGGGGGGTCTACAGAGTGATAGAACACGTTTACATTGTGTTTGGCACTTGGTGTGCGGAGTGTAAAATCTATGGCAGTGTATTTAGTGGCCCACATAGGAAGCCTTTTTGCCCAATGCCAAGTTTCCACTGAGGTATAGAGGAAAGGACACACCTCCTGTCCACACTTTCTCTCTTCAATAAAAATCTCAATACCAATATTCAATATCAATATCCAATCCCCAATATAAATCACCAGAATCACGACAATGAGACAATGAAACGCTCCCTTGACAATGTGCAAGATATTA